AGAGCCTCAGCCTCACAGCCCCAGCCCCTCCCCAGCCCCCCACGCCCCTGGGGGGACCCCAGAGCCTCAGCCTCACAGCCCCAGCCCCTCCCCAGTCCCCCCCTGGGGGGACCTTAGAGCCTCAGTGCTCTTCAAGCCTGGGACGGGTCCACTAACGAAGGCATGGGGGCGGAGGGTGGGGCTGCGGACACCAGGAGCCCCTCAACCTTGTGGGTGCCCTGGGGCTACTGACCCTGCCCCCGAAATGCTCTGGAGCTCACCAAAGCCTGTGACTGAGACAATGACGCACGCGACTCGCCCAGGGCACTGGGTCCTTTCCTGTGGCGCCAAGATTCAGTCTGGCACCACGGATAAATTTCAGTCTCCAGTGGGCGAGAGCCCCAGAAGACCCTGAGTTCTCTGCACCTACACCGGGGGCGTCCCCGGCCACGGAGGATGGCACACGGATCCTCCAAGCAGCCCGCCGGCACGGCCTCACCTGTACGACACCCCTGCCCCAGCCTCCCCCTGTCCTACCGCCGCGCCAGCCCCACACCCCAGAAGACCCCGCGCATCCCGGCTCCCACCTGTGGTCCGTCCCGGCCGCTCCTGGCCGGGGGCCCTGCGCTGGGGACGCTGTGCGGTGGCCTCAGGCAGGCCCACGGGCTGCTGACGGGAGCAGAGTACTTCCCGCACCCGCCGGGGCCGTGCGGGATTCCTGGGGGGAAGTGGGGTGTCAGCCGCCACGGCTGGCATCTAGAGAGCCAGTGTCTTTGATGAGAACGAGCACTTGTTCTGAAAGCAAGCCCCGCCCGCCAGGCTTCCTCTTTCCCAGAGCCACGTCTCTGTGCGTCACTTCGGCCTGGCTGCGCAGCACCCCCCCCCACGACCACCCCGTCAGAGGATGCCTGTGATGGGCCGGCCGCACCCACCTGGCGGGGCCTCCACGCCCACCCGCAGGGAGGCCGCCCGCCCCGCCCCCGCGGCTCCCCCACCCACCGCCCAGGGCCTGGTCTGCGTGGGGGAGCAAAGCAAGCCAGAGGAAAGGCTCACCCCACACCCCACGGTGTCCCCACCCTCAGCACAGAGGCCTCAGAGCCCAAGGGCAAGCCCTGCAGTCTGAGCTGTCCTGTGTGCGTGTTAATGTGGGGGCAATGTGCGGGCTGGTGGGGGGCCAGCCCAGCTGAGCATGACCTCACACCTGACCTCACACCTGACCTCACACCTGACCTCACCTCACACCTGACTTCACACCTGACCTCACCTCACACCTGACCTCACACCTGACCTCACCTCACACCTGACCTCACACCTGACCTCACACCTGACCTCACCTCCACACCTGACCTCACACCTGACCTCACACCTGACCTCACACCTGACCTCGCACCTCACCTCACACCTGACTTCACACCTGACCTCACACCTGACCTCACCTCATCACACCTCACCTCACACCTGACCTCACACCTGACCTCACACCTGACCTCACCTCACACCTGACCTCACACCTGACCTCACACCCGACCTCACACCGGACCTAACCTCCACACCTGACCTCACCTCACACCTGACTTCACACCTGACTTCACACCTGACCTCACACCTGACCACCTTACACCTGACCTCACCTCCACATCTGACCTCACCTCACACCTGACCTCACCTCACACCTGACTTCACACCTGACCTCACACCTGACCTCACCTCCACACCTGACCTCACCTCTCACCTGACCTCACACCTGACATCACCTCACACCTGATCTCACACCTGACCTCACACCTGACCTCACCTCACACCTGACCTCACACCTGACCTCACCTCCATACCTGACCTCACACCTGACCTCACCTCACACCTGACCTCACCTCACACCTGACCTCACACCTGACCTCACCTCCACACCTGACTTCACAACTGACCTCACCTCACACCTGACCTCACACCTGACCTCACCTCACACCTGACATCACCTCCACACCGGACCTCACCTCCACACCTGACTTCACACCTGACCTCACACCTGACATCACCTCCATACCAGACCTCACCTCCACGCCTGACCTCACACCTGACCTCACCTCCACATCTGACCTCACACCTGACCCCACCTCACACCTGACCTCACACCTGACCTCACACCTGATCTCACCTCACACCTGACCTCACACCTGACATCACCTCACACCTGACCTCACACCTGACCTCACACCTGATATCACCTCACACCTGATCTCACACCTGACCTCACACCTGACCTCACCTCCACACCTGACCTCCCCTCCACACCTGACCTCACAGCTGATCTCACACCTGACATCACCTCACACCTGACCTCACCTCCACACCTCACCTCACCTCCACACCTGACCTCACCTCCACACCTGACCTCACAGCTGACCTTCACACCTGACATCACCTCCACACCTGAGTGCCACTTCTACACCTGAGCACCACTTCCAGACTTGAGTGTCACTTAGAGGAAAGGAACAGAAAGTGCAAACCAGAGACACATCCTCCTGCTGGCTCAGCCAGGCGGCACCCTCCCCCGGCCCCTCCCAGGACAGGATGAGCAAGGAGCTGGCGCAGACACAGACACAAGGGCCCCAGGAAGTAGTCACAACCAAAAACACTGAGTATCAAACCTAGCAAAGGAAACTCCATCCCCATCAGCAGAATCTCAGACCAGGCAGGGCCAGGACAGTGCTGCTGGTTCCTCTTGCCAGCGCCCCGGCGGGTTCCGGGGGACGGTGGAGGCACGCATCCAGTCCTGCTCCCCGTCGGCCCTGGAGGCGTCCTGGACCCAACAGCAGGCCCCCACCAGAGTCCTCTCCCTTCCCATGTCTGCGACTCAGTCCCTGCACTGCAGTACTGCTTCCTCTAGTGCCTGGCTGCCAACTGGGGTGGCTCAGGAGAGTGCGATCCTGAGTGGACAGCCTGGGTGGTGGCTGGGTCGGGGTGGCCCTGTGGGGACGGGATCCTGGGTGGAGGTGGGGACGGGATCCTAGATGGGGGTGGGGACGGGATCCTGGGTGCAGTGGCCCTGGGTGAGGACAGGTAGAGTCACCTGAGATGAAGCAGAAGCATTAGTGCTGATGGGAACTTGGGGTGTCTCTAGACTTCTATGTGTATTTGCAAATCCCCACAATGAAAGTTTTTGAGTGAGCCTGTCAGCAGCACAAGGTGGGACAGGGCCTGACTGCTGCAGAGATGTGCCCTGCCCCAGGTCCTGGGAAGGCCGGACCCAAGCTTGCTGGACCTCCGTCTCCCCTGGGATGACCCCGCCTTCCCCCCCCTTGTGGCGGGGAGAGGGGAGTGGGCGGGGAGGGGGAGTGGGCAGGGAGAGACGGGCTGGGGCCAGCAGGGAAGTCAAGGCCCCTCTCCGTGCGGGGTGGGGAGACTGCAGGCCGCAGCCAGCAGCCCCGGGGCCCCTGTGGCCACCCATGCAGTCCACAAAGCTGGGTGGCAGAGTGGGTGAGGGGGCCGAGAGGCCGGCCTGGCTGGGTCTGGTTCCCCCGCCCTGCTCTGGCTTGTCCGGTGCACTCACACATGCGCGCTGCCCACTCAGACCGATTCAAAATGACCAACCTGACAGGACATGGCCAAAGGCAAAAGGAAGGGCCTCAGCTTGGAAGTTTCAGGAAGCGGGCCACAACCGCACCTGCCTGCCCCCGGCAGACCTCCTCTGAGCACCGCGCACGGGTCTGGAGGAAGCCGGAGGAGAGGCTGGCGGCAGGGAGCGCAAGGCAGCCGGTCAGCCACCCGCCCCCACCCTGCCAGGCTCAGAGCCGAGCGCGGGGCTGCCGGACGCGTCCTGTGGGTGCTGCTGGACGCCGCGGGTACCCCACGCCCTGTCACTGTGACCCCAGCGGGCGGCGCCCAGCTCTGCTCTCCTCCATCATGCCACACCCTGAGCGGACGCACAGACCTGTCCCTAAGGTGGCCGCCCTGGCCTCTGGTGGTGCCTGGTCCATAGCTGTCTAAGCAGGGGTGTGGGGGCCACACAGGGGCAGAGGTCACCCTTGGGGACCCAAGGGTCCTGCGGGAACGCTGGGAGGTCCCAGAGGGGTTATGAGAGGGCCCCGAGGGGTCCTGGGGTCCCGGGGGATCCCGAGGTCATCTTGAAGAGGCCCCGGGGGGCTCCTGCCTAGCACCCAGGACCTTCCTGCCCCACCCAGCTCTCGTCCACAGGGGCCACACGGGGCCTGTGCTTCCTGCCAGCGGAGGACAAGGCCTCAGCCTGGGGTACTCAGGTGTGGCCTCCCTTTCCAGGAAGCCCCTGTCCATCCACCCAGTGCCCTGTGACACGTGCCCATCCACCCAGTGCCCAGCAGTGTGTGCCCATCACCCAGTGCCCAGCAGTGTGTGCCCATCACCCAGTGCCCAGCAGTGTGTGCCCATCACCCAGTGCCCAGCAGTGTGTGCCCATCACCCAGTGCCCAGCAGTGTGTGCCCATCACCCAGTGCCCAGCAGTGTGTGCCCATCACCCAGTGCCCTGTGATGTGTGCCTGTCCCCACGTGCCGGCAGTGTGCCCGTCCCCACAGTGCCCAGCGGTGCCACAGATGGCTCGGGGTTTCTGAAGCGCGCCCCCCTTGGGCAGGTCCTTGCCTGGAGACCACAGAAGGCAGCCATGCGAGAGGAGTTCCCTGGGGAAGGCAGGGGCCCGCCCAGACCCTGACCCCTGACCCCGTCCCCCGACGACACCTGTCCCCTGCAGGCGGGCCTCCCCAGGCCTGTGCTGCCAGGCCCCCTGGGGCCCTCTGGGCGGCGAGGGCTGGGGACTCCATGCCCGCCTGGAGCCTCTGGCCTGTACCTGCCTGGGCGGCTTGTCCAGCCTCCTTCCCCTTTCAGGGCTGGCCGTGTCTAACCGGAAGGCCGGCGCTGGCCTCACCCCCAGCTCCCAGCTCCCAGCTCCCCACCGAGCTCCCCACCTGCCCACCGAGCCCCTCTGCCCACCCCCAGGCCGCTGCAGCTGCAGCACGTGCAGGGCTCGCGCAGGCTGAGGGAGCCGCTGTGAGGAGGGCCAAGGCCAGGCCCTGCTCCCGCCAAGCAGCCTGCCGGGAGGCGGACGGTGCCAAGCAGCCTGCCAGGGAGGCGGACGGATGGTCTCTCCAGGAAGGGCTCCCCCCTCCCCGCCAGGCCGGCCAGACTCAGCCCCGCCCAGGGTGGGCTGTGGTGTGACGTGCTCAACTGCCCTCGGCCCTCTGAGAAACGCAGCGCCCGGAGTCTGCCCTCAGCTCCGCCAGCCCTTCCGGACGCTTCCCCGACGCCAGGCAGGATGCAGCCACCCTGCAGGGGAGGTCATACTGACAGCCACGATGAAACAAACCGGGCGGGGTCTGAGTGCGAGGTGTGGTGACTCTTTGTCCCAGAAACCCCTCATCTGCCATCGCAGGGGGCGGGCGGGCAGCTGACTCTTTAGAGCAGCACCATCGTCCCTCAGACGTCCTTCACCCTGCAGAAGAAGCCTGCCGCTGCGTGGACAGAACGCTTCTATACACTATGACGCTGCTGCCTTGAGAAGACGTTTCTAACTGAAAGTAAAGAAACATATGGAGATGGAGATGGTCCACGTGTTTTTATTCTTTGAATTATTTTGAGACAGTCAGTGTATGTAGCCCAGGCTGGCCTCCCAGGCTCGATCCTCCTACCTCA